CCCCCCCCCACCCATGGGGAAAGCTGAAGTCAACTGAGTTGCTGATGATAAACATCATAAAGCCTGCCTTCTGAAGTTATAATTATTCTCAAGTTGATTTTGCGAGAGCATTCTGTTTGCTTATGATTAGGTGAAAATTGCAATTGGTGATATTGGTTTTCAAGATATGCAGTCTTTCATATTTCACATTTGCCAGAATCAAGCAAAAAGCACATTCCTTCAAGTGTGCGATTAGATTTAGATGTGCAATTTACTGTCAGTTGAGCCTTTGTGTTCAAAATAGTGACTTTGAATTGGTGCCATCATAAAATCACCGCTATGCGCCCGTGCAACATTTCATTGTCCTGCTAATACATGAATGCCTGTTACGAGAGGGTTTTCCACCGATGACACTTTGACTCATCTCTCACAGAACTTCAGCTTATATGGCGTAGCAGCGTTTGGTCAATTTACTTCCTAGGAATGTCAGAACTCTTTCAACACTTCTTGTGAACTATTGAATGTTGCTACTTTCGTATTTGTGCCTCCTTCCACGTGTTACAATTATCGTTAGGAGAGAATTTTCCAACGATGACACTTTGACCTATCTCCCACGGAATGTTTGCTTGTATGGCGTTGCAGCACTAATGTCAAATTTTGTTATGACGCTATGTAACAAAGTGTCACCTTCAACAATGACATGAGAATCATCACAAGTGGTCTTTAAGACATCGTAGGAAAAACACCGGCTTCTCTCCTACAGAATCATGTATAGCAGGATATCATCGTGAATGAATACAGTGATGGTTTTAGGCAGACTTAACAGCAATAACTCTTCACTCTCCGAGAAACAGCGTTTACACCGTTGGAGAGATAAATATGTTTATTGTCTTCTGAATAAATTGGTTTGCCTTGTTTAGGTGCTCTTGGTTTTTCTGCACCTTCTGTTTTTCTGGCCAAGTCTTCACTATGCGCTTCCTCAGATTCTTCAAACAGGTTCGCAATTCACTATGGGCAATTTCTTTTACTTATGTGTATTGAGTAGGCGATGTTAATTTGAAGTCGTGTTTTAGGCAACTCTGCAATTCTGTCTTGTGAAACCTCTGATGGCCATCGCAATCATAATAATGCAGGTTCTCGGTGTTTACAAGCATGGAATTTGGAGGCAAAGCATGTAGCCTGCCTTATTTACCACTTGATGAATGAAAATCGAATTTCGTTTCTTATTTTTTAATTTAATGTTTCAAATGGATACTTCAATACAACCATAATCTACAACATATCTGTGTTTCTGGCTTTTCATACTCTGGTTCTCTTCTATCTTGCCACTAGTTCTATTCCGCGACCGTTACAACCACTTATTAACCTGGCGATCGCCACGTCTATCGTGTTTCTGAGCTTTTGGCAGGGTTAGTTGAAAGGCTTATTTCCGAGACGTCTGTATTTGAAGCAATCGAAATGACCCTTGAATAAGTCACTGAATAAGTCAATAGAAACTAAAATTTCCAATTGTTAATGATACTATTCAGTAGCTCATTCTGTTGTGTGTGGAATGAAGCAATCAACGTAATGTTGGTTCATGACGTTGGGAATAAATTGCATAAGATCAAGCATTTTCCACTAGTATTTTATTTCAAATATCTTTCTAAATTAACCTTTTAAGCTAACAATTTGAAAGCTATAGATTGTGAGTCAATAGATTAGTAGTTTAGGATGAAGGAGCCATCTTAGAATACCACTCTATTCCGTTTATTTTTACAATCTTAAAGATATTGTACAGGGATTTGCATTCTGCGAAAAAGTTGGAGAAGACTTCCTTGTCCTTCCTCATATGGCTGAGATGTCGAAGAAGCCCGAAAAATTGGAATGAACTCATAAGTATATCAACATTTTAATGGCCTTATGACCATATGGTACTCTCTCAGAATAAGCTCTATTGGTATTAGTCACGTAAGGGAAGGCGTAATTGTCGTATGAGACATGTTCAACGGTACCACCAAAATCTTGCAGAAAAGTGAATGACCACTCAGTTGAGAGAGACTTATAAATCAAAAAGTCCCCATCGTGATTTCGGTGTGTAAATTATGTTTCACTGAAATCCATTAGAGAACAGTGAGGAAGAAACAAAGGGCAAACAACTATGAGAGAATATCAATATGATATTGAAGAACAGTTCAAACAAATCAAAACACCACTAAGACCTAGCCCAGTATAATTACTTGAATAAACATATGTACATTTATACATATATGTGTATTGGTAGATATTCAATAAATATACGTATATGTATGTTTCCATTTAAATATTCTAATGACGCAATTAGGTTGNCTATTATCTTCCTAAATTGTGGTAAAATATGTGTGAATCGTAATGCACATATTCAAACAAAGAGTTTTCTTTTGCTTCACTGCATATTTATAATTGAATTATTAATATTTCAACGTAACATTTGCATTGCATTAGTTTATTTCTCTATCTCTAATGGTTTTACCACACGATTTCTTTGCGGCTAGTCGAATTGAAGGTCACACAAAAATTGATGCATTTGTTCTGTGGAGAAAATTGAACCCAAACACATGTGCTAAGTTAGATTTTATTGTGATATGTGTTAGATGCATTTTGAAGTGGGGAAACAATATTTGATCTAATATTGGCAACTATTTCAACTCCGCCACGTAGCTTAATGGAGAAAATTAATTGCCAGTATGTATAGAAGCGGAATATTCCACTCATGGAAATGAATGTTAAGATTAATAATGTCCAAGTGTCTCAATAGAGAGTTCGTCTTCCTTCAGGTAGCAAACATTCGTTTGATTTAGAATATAAGAAATTAATTTTTGAATTAGAATTGCTCAAAACAAGCTATGAAATTGGTAGTGCCGTCCAAATATGAATAGACATCAAATGTCAACTTCAGGTGAGAAATCTCTGCATGAGCTGAATTTGAAATGAGTTATTTAGGCTAGTGTGACAAGTTGGCTGATTTCTTGCAAGGAGAAAATAACTGGCTTCACAAACATGAATGGATGGGTAGCTCTAAATAGCACAAATTTGGCTGATTTATTTATTCACAATAGTGAGATAATTATCTTAGAAAGGTTTCAGCATGGGTTCAAACTGAGTAGTGAAAGTGAAACATAATGCTAATGTTTTCAAGCTTGCTATTAACTGGTCCTGAATTGCAAAAATTGACATGATAAGAAAATAATATAGCATTAACAAAAAGAATGGTGATAGAAAATAAAGAGAAATAATTAAATATGATAACTGCATGAATGATAATTAGTTGTGCAAAAGTAATGCTCGAATGCAAATTCGTAATTGTGTCACGATTTCGATTGTTTAAGTGCAATGAAACCTGGCACCATAGTTGACCTATAGTTCAGAATAATGTCAGCTACTAATCAGTGCCCCATTTGTCTGGAGGAAATAAAAGCCCAAATCGGAATGCTAGGTGGATGTAAACACATCTTCTGCTACGATTGCATCAAGGAGTGGTCTAAAATTAAACGAACCTGTCCGATTGACCGTTCACCATTTGACTCAATCAATATACTACACGAAATTGGTGGTGCAGTTGTGGAAGAGGTTTGTTGAGATGCTCACTTTAAATTACATAACATTTTAGGAAAAGCTAGAACTATGGAGGTTGAATCAAGGCAATAGTTCTCATAGTGGTGATGTGGACAGAGACGTCAACAGTGGCCACGACGTTGACGACTACGTTGATAGACTCTACGATAGTTTACTTTCTTCTGCATCCAGTGACTATGAGCGTAATCGTATATCATCATTGGCTGCACGTACACCTAATCGACATTATCTTTATTTACTGTTGAGAGCATACCAGACGGCGCGAATGTATCGTGAGCGTCTTCGGTCTCAGAATAATTGTCCACATGATGGGATCTGCTCCCCTGCATGTAGAGTGAGTTCTCGTCGTTTCAATAAACTGTAATATTAACTCCTCATTCACTTTTGGCATTTGGCTAATGTAAAAATGGGTGAATCGGTTGCATTTGATATCATTCACTCAGTTGAGTTCATTTTACAGTCTTGACGTTACGTGATTGGACGAAAGGAGCATGAGTCGATCAACATTCACCCTGGTAAATTTTATTTTCTCCAAAAACAAATTTATTTTCGTCGCCTTAAGTAAACGAAGAATATTAGTTTGAAGTAAACATTGAAAGAGGAGAGCATTTGTGAAGATTGTGTGCAAATAAGATGGGGAAATGTTGTTCTTGGGTCATTATCTAAAACGAAATGAAAGTAGATTAGCTTTCATAGCCAAATGGAAAGACGAAGCAGGAATAGTCAGAGGATACCTATTGACTTGATTGGCATTAGAACTGCCCAGTAACGGTCGAGGAGAGCAATGGTGAAATTCCGTATTCTTGGCGATTTGTTTCGATAGCATTGACGTAAGTTTATCATTTAATCAAATGGTGCACCATTTCATCCAGAATATTATGCATACTTACATTTTGTGAGCAATCCACAATTCGCGTTTATATATATATATATATTTTCAAAAGGCAGGCTTTATGATATTAATCTTTAGCCCTTAAACTTGATAATATAACGATTGATGAACAGCAGTTCATTAGCTGTCTTCTTGCTTCCCAGTATCTCTGCGTTACCATCGTTGTCTGTAGGGCTGGACACCGAATCAGGTGGGTCTTCTCCATTTCTCACGTAGATTACATAGAGGGCATGTGGTTTGAGTGTATACTCCCAATCTGTGAAGGTGTTTTGCCAAGCAATCGTGTCCGATACGTAGTCGAAACTCAGCAACGGCTTCGACACTTGACCACTGTCCACTGTTTCTCCTTTGTTTGAGCTTTAAGTTCGTTGCACCTTGGGGTCTGGAATTCTCGCCTGATTAAGGCCTTCATTGTGTGGAAAGACATCGGCCTGTCCATGCATTGCAAAATCGTTGTCCCCTTCTAATCAAGTGTGCCAGCTAACTCATTGTCATTAATGCCACAGTGACCAGGAATCCACTGTAGGACCACTGTTCTGTTTGTCTCTCTCAGCATCTGATAGAGTTTTCTACATTCCTTTATCTCACCTCTTTTGGGTGTCTCTCTGTTTCCAATAGAGTCTATTGCTGACTGTGAGTCCGAAAGTATCACCGCTTTGGTGAATTTCGTATCCAGGCAACATAATTGGCATAGTGCTATCCTAATGGTCTCTATTTCTCCTTCGAAAGCTGATCTATTGTGTCCCGCTGCTGCATAGGGAGAGAAGAGTTCTAAATAGACACCTGCACCAACGTCTGCTTGGCTTTCTATGTATGACCCATCAGTGAAGACTTGGAGCCATTGATCTGCAGGATAGTTGACATTGATTGTCTCAAGGGCCAGTGAGCGCGTTTGCTCTGGAGGGGTGTTTGATTTCCTGAAGAAGTCGAGCAGTTGGGTGCCACACACTACATCAGTGTCTGCCAATGGGTTCATGGGGAGAGAGAGGCTTTTTGGTTTGTCATCAATTTGTAATTCTTTCTTCAGTTCTATGGCTTTCTGCATTAGACCAGATTGCGTTTTCAGATGTCTTGGTCTATTCTCATAGGTGCTGAAGAACTTGTCCATGGGAATGCGCAGTAGCTTCTCATACAGGATCAAGGCCTTTTCTTTCATAAGGGAACATAATATAATGCTCCCAGTAACTAGAAGCATTGCATCAATGGGTGTTGATTTTATCCCTCCAGTAATTAGTCGTATTGCTTGGTTGTGTGCCTTCTCGAGTGATTTTAGAGTCACCTCTGTGGCTGTAATGAGTGGCTCACAGCAAAACAACATTATTGGCTGAATAAACATCTTGTAAGTGGTGTTAAGGGTTAAGTTGGGACTATTCTGGGGTGGATTATAGACTTTGTATACTTGAAGTGGTTTTGACATTTCCAAACATTTAATCTGATTATTTGGCACATGTCTTGTGTCGAGCCCATACTCTTGATTAGGTCGTAATGTGATGTGAGGCCTTCTTTTACTCCAGTCTGACTTCTACTTGCAACTTGCCGGTATTTAGGTAGAGGGTATAAGAAGTAACCTGGGAATTGGTAGTATTTGAGCTTGTCGTCCGTAAGGTTTGCTCGCATGGTTGTGGATATGTCTTTATCATAGGTATGTAGGATTTTCCGGTTTTAGATCTTTTTGTCCTGAGATATCTCTCAAGCATTCCATTGAAGGATCTGTAGAAGCTGTTATTCGCCTTCGTTTCAAGCTTATCATAATAAATTGAAGTCAAATGCCGTGCAATAGACTTTTTGCCGTATGAATATACGTTGTCCAGGGTGCACTACGTGGTCGTAAGTCTATCGAGCACCCCACTTGGGAATAATGATGTAGCAGGATTACAGGTTCTCCCGAATATAGAAAGATGAATTAGTATATTTTTGTTCAAAATTAGTCAATTCAGAACACCACAAATACGAAAGTTACAACATTCAATAGTTCACAGGAAGTGTTGAAAGAGTTCATCATGAACTTCGTGTTCTGCATCGTTTACTCACGTAGAGGTATTGCAATTACTCAGGACGAATCACTTCATTTGATCGTCAAGATGAGGGGCTATTTCTTGCATACACTGTACTATGACAGCAATCACCAACCCAGATTACGAAAGTGACACGGTCAGCAGTGCCATCAGGTCATCTGATCAACAAAGGCAACCAATCGAAATTCGCTCTACCAAAGGGATTGGGGGTGGGGCGGGGGGGGGGGGGGGGGGGGGGGGGGGGGGTGGGAGAGACAGCGTATGTGAATTTGCTTTTCGAATAAATAGTGGTTGCAATCTGTTCCACTTTAATCTTAGCGCCTTCTGGGTACTTGAGAGATTCATAAGCGGAACTTTCATTCTAAGGTGTGACTTCTTGGGAAAAACCTTATTCACAGGCTTTTCTGTTATATATATATATATATATATTTATAATGATTTAATCAGTTAACTATCTTCACCTCGTGAAACGAATACTCAAAGCCAAAGCACTGGTCTGAAAGCTTGTGGAGTCTGAGCAATGGGAGGATGGTAAATAACTGTTCGGATTTTCCTACAAATAACAAAACTTGCGACTTAGTGGAAATAGTTAAGACATTGATGTTGACGAGAAGTGATAAGCAGTGGCCAACACCATCCTGATATCAGTTTGTTAGATGTTGCACAAAGTAAAGCACTCAATTCTGGACCCAATCCTTTTATACTTTTAGACTGCCAATTTACTGCCACATGACAGGATACTTTTGAGACACTATGACTGAATCTTGATTAAAGTCTCTCTAACGTTAAGCTTCGAACCAACACTTAGCCAATAAGTTACAATTGGCGCAATATGATACACTGTGATCGAGAAAAGACGCCAACCTTTGGGAGTCTATTGGCAGTTACGCACTTTGACTTTTGGGGTGCACGACAGACTTACCTCCACCTGATGCTCTCTGTGCAATGCATATTCACACGACAAAATATTCTAGAAACCGGCAGTTGACTTCATCTTATTTCAAACCACCATAAACCGACTGTCTGTCATTTTCCACCACTCCCAAAGTACTCGCCTTACCTTTTTCTCAACATTTGTGTCCGACCCTTTTACATCTGTGAATCACTCACCCCTTCCACCTATCAACTCTTTGTGACTTTGATGTTCCTCACCTCTGTGAAGCCCGAAATCAATTAAATGGCTATTAATGACTATCATAAAGCCTGACATTTGATATAAATGAGTAAAAACTGTGCCACCGACACAAAACAAGTCCAAATTCTCAAATCATCATCTATTTATTTCTAAAGTTTTGACCTTCAACTATGGAAAGTTATTTATTTATTTATTTAATCGAAGTCAAAAACGAATGCCGAGTGATAGACTTTTTTGCCGTAAGAAAATACGTTGTCCAGGGTGCACCACGAGGAGGTAAGTCTATCGCGCACCCCTGGAAAGTTAAAATGAAGAGTAACTGAGGCAAGGCTGAGGAAACTACCCGACTGGATTTAATCATGTTTGCAGAGCATGTGTTTCAATTGGAGTTAGGTGATAACGAAATTCTAGTCTCCGTAAGCTCATATCCATTTAGGAGAAGAAATCGAAGAGGAATGAAGATAGTTCTCAAAAGATTGCAATAGGGTTGGAAAATTTTCCGTCTTTCGATATACAGAAACAATCTTTCAAAACCAAGAAGGAAATATCTAAAAAGAACAATGTCTTAAGGCCTATTTTATTGCTATTTAGGCGAAAAATAAAGAAAATTCGAAACAATGAGCGAAAATCATGAAATTTCTAATTTCTGCTGCAGTGTGCTTGATAATAGATTAGACATTTCACATTGATACACAACCATCGTTTGAGCTTTGAACATATACCCATTATTGTTGTTATAAAGAAAGCAAGCACAACAACAACGCACAAAATGCTCTATCGAACATGGCCAATTTAAGAGGCACATTCCCATAAAGTCAAAATACACGAGGGTCCAGAATAACAGATTTCCATTGGAAATCAATTAACCTGAAGCTACTATTGAATGCTTTTCGCACAATGTGCCACTACATTTAGAAGAATTGTTAGAGAAAAGTAGGATAAATTTTCCAGGAGCACCAATGGCCGAAACACGTACCAGTATTGACTCCACCTCCTTGATTGTGAAATATTGTCTATTAAAGAGAACTCGAGATAATATTTAACTGTGAATAGGCTAAGTGGATTCATATGTTCATGGAAAAAGCAACCCCCATGCAAGATTAACACGATCACAGTTCCCCAAACACAGCAGTCAACCAGAAGATTTCGAGTGATATTTCCAGACACCTTATATCTCATGGAATACAAGAATGAGTAGGAGGCAAAAGTAAATATTAACTCCAACTGCTTATCGAAGACGAAAGCAACCATAAATCAAAGGACAAAGTCTACATCCGAATTCCACAAACTATTTCTTCCAACCTTCAGCTATGCATCCGCTT